TATTTTCATACTTACATGCCTTTCTTGAGCGTCACCATCAGATAAATGTAACGTGAAAACTGTTGCTGGAGTGTGATCCAGACATGTTCATCAATGGCAAAACATGCAGATTAGCCCCTCAACTCATCATGTGGTGGCAGATCACCCCCTTAAGTCAGTTCACGCGCAAAAGAACCCCTTAACTCGTCTTAGGTGGCAAATCAGCCCCTCTATGTAACATGACATCACTAATCTGTTAAAACATAACGTTTCCCTCATCATGTTCCGTTCTGTGTCTGACCTAGATTTTTTTTTTTTTGAGATGGATGCTTTGTCTTTCATTACATTCCTATCTGATTGCCAGAGAGGGTGAGTTTCTGCAGATTCCGAACAGCGAAAATTAAGCCTTTAGCAGCTAGTGAAAGCCCACCCAAGTTCAGATTTTATTGTCCATAAATACCCAAATTCAGATTAGATCACCGGGCCTAATACCCAAATACCTCCTCTACTTTTCTTCTCAGAAACTATTCCTTAATGATTATCTTCTTCCTCAACCTCTCCCTTGCTCTGAAATGGAATCATCGCTACCAGCAACACAATCACCCAAATCTCCATCGTCTCCGTCCACTACCACTTCCTCCACCGGTAACTGCTACAACCGTTGAGGCCCTACCTCCTTTGCGCCACCTCCCCAATCCCCTACCGGTTGGCTGGAACTATCACCTCCCCCAAACTACAGAGGAATCTGGGCTCCAGCTATTAATCTGCCTCCTAATAACAACTCCGAAGTGATCATCCTTGCTCTTGTGCCTCAATCCCAAAAGGTCCTATCCATTTCTCTTCCTTTCCGCTTCTAATCACCTTCCAAGGAAATCCACTCCCCCGCCGACATTCGCTAGTTTCATGAATCGAAAACATGCAAGAACTTCCTCACTTCGTTGTCACCCTCTCAGAATCAATTCGTGGCACAGATCCGATCTGTGCCATGAATCCTCCACCACCACTAAAATCGCCACTGTCCATGAAATCTTAATCCATTGGATCGATGAAATTCCTTCGGTTCAACAATCGTCTCACTACGGTAACATCTCCTACAGAACTTGACACGAGTGGATAGGAATTTCCCGATCTGTTCATGCCTTCTTTTTGTTTTTCGTTATATGGAGATCGCGATTGTGCTATTTAGATGCAGAACAAAAGCAAAGGAAGAATACAGTCAAAAGTTGCAGGAATTGCAAGCAGAGGTAGCTTCGTGTAATGAATCGCAAGAAAATCTCCAAAGAAAGGTTAGTAATAAAAGACAAAGCATCCATCTCGGTAAAAAAAATCCAGATTAGATGCAGAGGAGGGGATGATGAGCGAAACGCTAAGTTTTAACGGATTAGTGATGTCATGTTACACAGAGGGGCTGATTTGCCACCTAAGACGAGTTAAGGGGTTCATTTGCGCGTGAACTGACTTGAGGGGGTGATCTGCCACCACACGATGAGTTGAGGGGCTAATCTGCATGTTTTGCCTTCATCAATCACATGAAGATAGTCAAATTAATTATTTGTTGGTATGAATATAAACAATTTGAGTTCCTTTAAATAAGATTTTAAATTTTAATTTCGTGAATAAAAAAATATACGTTAAAATAATTTTTTTATGAGATTTGATCTAATTTGATTTCGAATTCATCAAAATTAAATATAACTTTTAAATATTAAGAGACTAATAAAAAAAATATAGTAACGGTGAGTATTGACATCATAACATAAGATT